TTATGTACGTATAAACTTGCGTTGATCTAACTCAGTTTGTGTGATTTATATTACAATATCTCACGAAATAGTATTATGTGATTGATCAACTTATGGTCCTATATTATGAGTAAAAAAACACAGAGTGCTATTTGAAAAGATTGACATGACTTTAATACCTCTTTCATCATTTTCATATGGAAAGACTATAATTTATACTATCAAATTTAATATTATCATTTATTTTATTTTTATTATTTATATCATCAAACAACTATTGAAACACCCTATATATATATATATTTATTTATATATTTATACATTCGTAAAGCTGTGTATAATTACATATTTATCATAGAAATGCATATATGTATAAATTTGCGTTGATCTAACTGAGTTTATGTGATTTATATCACACTGCTGCACGAAATAGTATTATGTCGTTAATCATAATGTTTATCCTAACTTATCCTAAAGAAAGCACAGAGTGCTATTTAAAAAAGATTGACATAACTTTAATACTTTTCTCATAATTTTCCTCTAGAAAGATTATTTATATTGTTAAATTTACTATTACCATTTATTTTATTTTTATTACTTATACCATCGAACAACTATTGAAACACCCTATATATATATTTATTTATATATTTATATATTCGTAAAACTGTGTATAATTACATATTTATCATACAAATTCATATACATATAAATTTGCGTTGATCTAACTCGGTTTATGTGATTTATATCACACTGCTGCACGAAATAGTATTATGTAGTTAATCATAGTGTTTATCCTAACTTATGATACTGCATTATGAGTAAGAAAAGTCAGAGTGCTATTTAAAAAGATTGACATGACTTTAATACCTCTCTCATAATTTTCCTGTGAAAATATTATTTATATTGTTAAATTTGCTATTACCATTTATTTTATTTTTATTATTTATACTATCAAACAACTATTGAAACTCCCTATATATATTCATTTATTTACATATTTATATATTCGTGAAGCTGTATATAATTTATCATACAAATTCATATACATATAAATTTGCGTTGATCTAACTCGGTTTATGTGATTTATATCACACTGCTGCACGAAATAGTATTATGTCGTTGATCATAGTGTTTATCCTAACTTATGATACTGCATTATGAATAAAAAACTCAGAGTGTTATTTAAAAAAGATTGACATGACTTTAATACCTCTCTCATAATTTTCCTGTGAAAATATTATTTATATTCTTAAATTCACTATTATCATTTATTCTATTTATATTATCTACTTTATCAAATAACTATTGAAACACCCTATATATATATTAATTTATTTACATATTTATATATTCGTGAAGCTGTATATAATTACACATTTATCATACAAATTCATATACATATAAATTTGCGTTGATCTAACTCAGCTTATGTGATTTATATCACTCTGCTTCACAAAATAGTATTATGTAGTTGATCATAGTGTTTATCCTAACTTATCCTAAAGAAAGCACAGAGTGCTATTCAAAAAAGATTGACATGACTTTAATACTTCTCTCATAATTTTCCTATAAAAAGATGATTTATATTTTCAAATTTACTATTATCATTTATTCCATTTATATTATTTACAACATCAAACAATGTTTGAAACACCCTATGTGTATATTTATTTATTTGTGTACCCATTTTATACGTTACTTTTATACATTACTTCAAAGTCCATAACTGTACACGAGACATAACACTTGCCCATATTTTTCAAATCATACATTACCTGATCACGGCTGTACTTCTCCATTTGATTAATACACGACAATACTGTCATCAGGCGACTTATTTATAACAATTTGTCAAACGACATCGAATTACAAGTCGTAAATTCGTCAGACTAGTTGAAACGGCGGAGGTCGGTGTTTAGCGATAAATCAAGGACCTCCGATGAATCATGGTCCTCGATGTCTAGTCGTCAGACGATGTGCACACCTGCTGTTTCCTAGAGAATTTGTCCCGTGCTCGAGGGTGACGCGTATAATTATATACAATGTCGGTATGACTCGAGGGTGGATGTCATTGACAGAAGTTCGAGTGTACTGGAAAGAAGTAGAGACCATTGGGGTGAGACTAGTGTAACGTAATGTCGTGATGCGATGCTTTTATGACGTGAACCTGAAGGGTCGCGATTGAAACGGGTATAAAACACACTCGAGGGGTTTCAGCCTTGTAATCGCAGCCTGTCGGAACATAACGCGATTATTAGTGCTTAGATCCGAGATTAGAATGAAGACCCGTGCTACCAATACGGTGTTTGACGTAGCCTGTCAAGCTTACGAGTAGAACTCGATTATTTAGCTAAAGTGCAGCCATTGAAAGAAACGAAAATTGCCACGAGTTGATTGGAATTGGAGGTAATCACGAAGAGATTGATGTTTTCGTGGATGATTCGAACAATTCGCGGCTGAAAGGAACTACTCGACGATAATAATATATCGTCATAGTAACGGTACCAGGGTAGCAAATGGTAGTTAGTTTTGGACGAGTAAATAGTATTAATTTAGAAGATTCCACTTCTAATTTTTCTATTTAATCGATTTCTAATTTTGCTGCTGATGGTTAAAGTGGGAAATAGATTGGTTATAATTTAACTCATGATTGGTTAGTTTAACCCGGAGTTATCAGCATTGGAGAAAAGTGGAGAAAAAGGTAGATGAAGATGGGAAAATGGCGACGAACATAGTCTTCAGGTTTTGGAATTCGCTATACTAAAGATTAGGAGGATTTTATGGTTATTTTTTGATAATACAGGACAAATCTGAAAATAAGCTCATACTGTCAATGTCATTCTAGGATTAAATAGATATCTAATTATATCCAATTATCTAAAAAGATTTAAAGACTTTAATTAAGCAGAAAATAAATTAACAATAACAGTATTCGAAAACCTAACTTTCTATAACCTCGTTGTAATCTCCACCTGTCATAAAATATTTCAATGACAGTTTAAAATAATGATGACTATGAAAAATGTAGATTTCATTGGACAGTGCAATCAATCCACTTTCTCTAATACAATCGTAAAGATAAAGAAGTTTCTATTATTAATTTCTATTTACTTAATTATTTTATTTATTCATTCTTTCTGTCAATATTTATTTTATTTTCTAAATTAACTAAGAAACTCATATTTAGAAACCAATCATATATCATGCCATGAAAAAGATAATAATAAAACAAAATAAGTACATGGACACCAAATGAAATCTAACAATAGATCTTTGTGTCACAGATATGGTCAGTAAATCACAGAAAATAAACAATAAGAATATTCGAGAAACTCACTTTCTATAATCTTATTATAATCTTCACCTATCGTACACAATATTTCTATGACAGAGTACTAATAAGTACCAAATAGATTTAAATAGATAATGAAAATAAAAATGTTGATGTTGATTTCATTGGACAATACAATGAATCCACTTTCTCCAACACAATCATAAAAATAAAGAAGTTTCTGTTATTAATTTCTATTTACTTAATTATTCTATTTATTTATTCCATCTACCAATGTCCATTTTATTTCCTAAATTAACTAAGTGACTCGTATCTACGAACTAACTTCATACCATAGCAGGAAAAAGGCGATAATAAAACAAGATACATGGTCACCAAATGAAATCCAACAATAGATCATTGTGTCACAGGCATGATCAATAAAACAAGAAGTGTTCATTGTGTCTTGTACTACTACTATCCCAATGTATATATACCACTTGACTTAAAAATAAAGAGTCAGCCTCTCATCCTCTCACCCCTGCATTGTGCATTCCTCACAAGAAGTCCCTCGTGGCGTCATAGCACCAAAAGAAGTGACTTGATCGTTCCAGTTTATCCATTTCATCCCCAGTCTTTGTCACAGGGTCCAACATTGGCCATTGAAACGTTAGAACCAAATATATACCAATATATACCACCTAACTTAAAAATAAAGCGTCAATCTCGCATCCCTGTATTGCGCTCTCCTCACAAGGAGACCCTCGTGGTATCATAAGAGCAAAATAAGCGACCTGATCGTTCCAATTTATCCATTTCATCCCCAGTCTTCGTCACAGAGTCCAGCTTTGGCCATTGAAACGTTAGAACCAAATACAGGTAGCCCTCCTACAACACGGCATCCGATAACACGGTTTCGCTATAACACGATTCATAAATTGCGGGAACCCCCCTGCAACACGGTATCCTATAACGCGGTTTCGCTCTAACACGATAAGAAAATTGCAAAAACCTTTGTACAACACTGTACTTCTACATAAGCAGTGACGACGAGGAAATTTATTAAATTAAAGTTGCGTTAAATTAAAATAATATTTTTGCTTTTCTTTTGTTTCGTGTTGTACATACGTTTATATTTTTAATGAAAATTAAGTTGTTTACGTAGAATAAAAAAAAATTTGTTTTTAATAAGTTTTCGAAACGTAACCTTTTTGTACTGGCTCTGGGTCTCATACAACACGGTTTCACACAACACGGCATTTTCTAGGAACCTACCTACCGTGTTATAGAAGGGTTACCTGTATATACCAATATATACCACCTAACTTAAAAATAAAGAGTCAATCTCGCATCCCTGTATTGCGCTCTCCTCACAAGGAGACCCTCGTGGCGTCATAGGAGCAAAATAAGTGTTTCCAATTTATCCATTTCATCTCCAGTCTTCGTCACAGAGTCCAGCTTTGACCATTGAAACGTTAGAACCAAGAATGCGTATCAAGTAGGACGTCCTCTTTTCACTGTGGTTAATCAGACCCGCACTCCTGGACCCGTACCCCTGTCAAGGAACTTCTTTTGAGGCACACACGCTACCTTCCACCTAATAACACGGTCCCTTGCAACTGTTCCCGGCACTAAGTAGCAATAAACGAAAATATAACACAAATCTGACGAAAATACTCTTCAATCGCTATATGAAAACGTTTGTTTCTTTCCAGTACAGTGACCGGTCCACGCCCGTTCTCCTGATAGTATCGCTCGCGGGTATCAAAGTATGCAGTCCAGATGGAAAAGTGAGTATGACCAACGTTGCATAGCCGCGATTTCTTTCGCAAGGAAACGTCTCGCGGAAAAAGGGAACGAGGCTGGCAGCGGGCAACAAAGTGGGGGGTGGGGTTTTTGGGCTTTCGCGTGGTTGCACGTCGAAGAGAAAAGAAATTAACACTGTCTGTCTTTTCTGCGTTTCCAAAGCGCGACCCACAAAGAAACTCGGCCAACGTGTTCTGAGAACGATGCTCACCGATGAACGTTCGTCCACGTAGACGAGCGACGCTCTCCCGCCGTAGCTTTTAGTTCGCAGACTATCCCAGCGCGGCGCTTTGTAGTTCCGGCGAGTGTGCCGCGACGAGAGCGCCGCGCGGTGCATTAAAAGCCGCGTCTTTCGCGAAATGAAGTTCATCAAACAACATCCGCGAACGCGAGATCACAAGAAATTTCTGCTTCGTGCCTTTTGCCGGGTATTCTTGCCAGCTTCTTTCACGGTTTTCTCTGGTTAAACGAGGAGGTTTCTTGTCAGATGTGATTTGTGCTGCGTGTTATAGGATTTGGTTTACTCGACCAGTTAGGCGGTTTCATTGTGTGGTTGAGTAGTGGAATTGGATTCCGAGATGAGAAATCTCTGTGCATTTCGTGAGACGAATGTTTTATAAGTTAACAATGGGGTTTCATTTTAATTGGTTTTTATATACTTTAGCAGATGAATGTTTTGTAAAATGAGGTTTTATTTTGATACATTTTTAGACATTTAATGAGATGAATATTTTGTAAGATGAAGTTTCATTTTAATTGGGGATATTATGAGACCTTAGGTTGAGACTAATTGAATAATTTTTTGATAATGTTAGTAAATAAAAATTTATTTAATTGATTTTTATATATTTTAGCAGATGAATGTTTTGTAAAATGAGGTTTTATTTTGATAGATTTTTAGGCACTTAATGAGATGAATATTTCGTAAGCTGAAGTTTCATTTTAATTGGGAATATTACCAAATATTAGGTTGAAACTGATTGAATAATTTCTTGGTAATGATAGTAAATAAAAATTTATTTAATTGATTTTTATATATTTTAGGAAATGAATGTTTTGTGAAATGAGGTTTCATTTTGATAGATTTTTATTCATTTAAGGATATGAAGGTTTCATAAGATGGTATTTTATTTGAATTAGGGATATTATAAGATGTTAGGTTGAGACTGATTGAATGATTCTTTGGTAATGTCAGTAAATAAAAATTGATCAGGTATCTGACATATTATTTGTTTCTTTTTTGTTTTCTATTTATTTATTAATTTTTAATAGGAACTTTAAAAAATTTTTTTAACTAAATTTTAATTTTAACTTAAAAATTTTTTAAATTAAAAAAGCGTCCATTATTAAAACGAATTAATGTTAGAATGATATAAAATATCAATGAAAATAATGTAGCAGTAGTAATATAAAAATAGTAATATAAAAGAATATGAATTCTGTATTTAGATGATAATAAGAATATTTATATGTATAAATATAATATTCATATGATCATATAAATATTGTTGTAGTGATATGCTATTCTGATATTACTATAATACTATATTATACTACAGTAGTATACTGTAATATATATATATATATATGTATATATTGTATTACAAATATTTGTACAGCAATATAAATATTTTATATACAATAAGTCGAAAGAAATAACATTAAACGTTTCAAGTTTCTCGAATATTAATTATACCGGTAATACATGTTGTAATAATTATTATTGATATTTTGTCATAAAGGTTATGAATATTTTTTCAAATAATTCTAAAGTAAGCAAATAAATAATGTTACTTTTCAGTACCTTGCTTATTATGCAAATTATTCTCAAAGGAAACAATATGTCCTAAATTAAACCTCAATTACTACTTCAATGCTTTGAATCGTTTACCGCGAAAGAGAGAAAATTAAGAAAGGTAATGAAAGAGAAAATAATCCTTTCAGGCTATACTAAGGAAAAAATGAATAATATTTCGCCGATTCGCGTTATTTAATAAGTAATTGCTCGTAGAAATAATTTCAACGCAAACATTCCGCAGAAGGTGCATCCAGGAATACACGGGAACGAAGGCAATCAAGCAATCAAACGTAACGGCATTCCGAACGAACCGCAATTTTGTATTTACCCCGACGGGGATGCAATAATCCTTTTCGGATGACATCAAAGATAAATTTCGTTCCAAGTTTGCAATTACCTGCGGATACACAATCGAGTGTAATTAATGATCGAGCCATTATAAATGCCACGTTTTTAAAAATGTATTAATTACCGACTATTATCGATAATTAAATATTGCGGATTTTAATGACTTCTAGGAATTGCCATATTTTCACTAATCGTATTCTTTAAAAATATTATACAAAAAATATACGTAATAGATGATGTATAGTATAATATATTAATTTATTGTATATAATATATAATTATATATGAATATAATTAATTAGAAAAATTAAATTGCTTTCGTTTAAAATACACGAAACATGAAATTTATAGTAAAATATTTGTTAATATAATAAAAACAAAATGGAGCAAAAATATTAAAATTGAAATTTAATTTTATGAAATTGTAAATTCTTTAGAAAACACAAAAATTAATTATATCATAATTTTGGAATGTTTGGAATGGTGGTATTAGTTATTGAAAAATCATATTTGCTTCTGGGAAAAGTATGGTGTGTTAAATTATTTAAAACATAAATAAATATAGCAATTTTTAATACTTTTTGCATAGTGCTAATTTCGTATGAATAAAATATAGCAACATAATATCATTCTTATAATCGATTTGATTTTAATTTTGTCTTATCAATTTATCATGAAAATAAAAATGAGCTTATTATTCTCTTTTCATTGTTAATTACAATGTTAAAAATAAGAGGCATTAAATATTTATTGCTACTGTCTATTATTATTACCAAAAATGATAATTTTCTACAATAAAATGAAAGAACTTCTTATAAATGGTATAAAAATAGACCAATCTGTCTAATTTAAAAAATATAGAAAGAAATTTCACAAAAATAAAATTCAAATTTTGAATAATAATTAGTCAAGTTTATTGTCAATTCATTTTCTAATCACAAAATTTCTTCGCTAGTTAATTTAAAAGAAATATATAAATTTGTTAAAAATATCTTAGAAGTATATATATTCGGAAAA